ACCAAGGACAAAGGCCACATTGCTTAGTGTAAAACTGGGTCCTTTACCCAATGTGTATATTTCCATTGTTTTTGTGCTTTTGTCATACTAAATATATACTTATTTAACTTTTGTATATTAACATATACAAAACACACATATATTTAACTTTAATATAGCCGGTACATTCTTGGCTTTTCCTTTACAGTCTCCAGTCCTGCTTCTTGTTTAGAAATATCTTACCAAGCCTAGGATTATAAGAATATCCTGCTGTACTTCATTTTAATACCTTTATCATTTTATGGGCTATGATTTGTTTCTAATCCATTTGAAATTTATTGTTATGTATGGTGTGAGACAGGAATTTAAATTAATTTTATTCCAACCCAATAATTTATGGTCACTAATCCACTTCACTTATTGACTAGACCAAGCTTTCCTCACTTAAAATGCCCCCTTTATCATAAAATCTCTGGAAATCCTGGTGGCGTAGTGGCTAAGAGCTATGGCTGCTAACCAAAAGGTCACCAGTTCGAATCCACCAGGTGCCCCTTGGAAACGGTGTGGGGCAGTTCTACCTTGTCCTATAGGGTCACTATGAGTCAGAATCGACTCGACAGCAACAGGCTACCGGCTATCATCAAATCTATCACCATATACACGTGGGTATAATTGTGTACTCCACAGTCCATTGTCTCCCAATATTTGGTCATTTGATTTCCATCATCATTAATTATATTATATTCATATTCCATTTATACTATTATACTAAATACGTTAGCATAATACATTTTTTAAATTAAATATCTACCGTAGCCTCATCCCAAGCATGTAAAATCATAGGTTTAATTTTTTTCTTGTAACCATGAAAATAAGTGCCTATTAGTGTACCGTTTGAAATCATCTTGCAAACCAACCCCAAGTGGAATGCAGAAGCATTTTGGGGAAACGCCATTGTATGCTTTACACTAATGAATTTGTCCTTTCTTGTGTGTGTGCGAGAACGATCATTCTAAATTTATGGCATGTTTTTCTTGTTAAGTTTTTATCTTAAAATAATTATATATTTACAAGAGATTGCAAAAATAATACAGAGAAGTTCTGTGTACCCATCAACCAGTTTCCCCAAAGGTGACATCTTATATACCTAAAGCACGTTATCAAAACCAGGAAATTGACATTGGCACAATATAATTAACTAGACTACAGACCTTCCTCAGATTTCACCCATTTTTGCATGTACTCATTTTGTTTCTTTGCATGTGGTTCTAGGACATTTTATCACATTTATAGATAATATAACCACCACCGCAGTCAAAATACAAAACTGTGTCATCACCAACGGAACTTCCTTTTTTTATCACACACTGTTTCCTCCCCCAAATCCTGGCAGCCCCTGAGCTGTTCTCCATCTCTATAGTTTTGTCATTTTGATAATGTTATGTAAATAGAATCACACAGTATGTAACCTTTGGGGAATAGCTTTTTTCACTCAGCGTAATACCCTGGAGAATCAAGTTGTTGCCTGTATCGCTAGTCATTCCTTTTTATTGCTAAGTAGTCACCCATGATACGGTTGTACTACAGTTTGTTTAACCATTCACCTACTGAAGGACATTTTGTTTCCATTTTTTGGTTATTACAAATTTAACTGCTATACACATTTGTATGTAGGTTTTTGTGTGAACATAGATTTCATTTCTCTAGGATAAATGTCCAGGAGTGTGATCTCTGGCTTATATGTTAAGAATAAGTTTAACCCCTGAAGACGTGGCCCTTGGACACTCTGTTAGACCCAAACTAAAACCATTCCCAAAGCCATCTCTTCAGACAAAGATTAGACTGGACTATGGGACATAAAATGATGCTCTTGAAGAGTGTGCTTCTTAGCTCAAGTAGATACATGAGACTAAATGAGCAGCTCCTGTCCAGAGGCAAGATGAGAAGGCAGAGAGAGTCAGGAGCTGGTTGAATGGACAGAGGAAATCTGGGGTAGAAAGCAGGATTGTGCTGTCACAGTATAGGGAGAGCAACTAGGATCACATAACAATGTATGTATAAATTTTTGTATGAGAGACTAACTTGAATTGTAAACTTTCACTTAAAGCACAACAATTTAAAAAAAAAAAAAAAGAATAAGTTTAACTTTTTAAGAATCTCCCAGGCTAATTTCCATAGTGACTGTACCATTTTACATTCCCACCAGCAATGTATGAGAGATCCAGTTTCTCTGCATCCTGGCCAGCATTTGGTACTGCCAGCGTTTTTTATTTTAACCATTCTAAGAGGTGCGTAGCTGTTGCATCTCATTGTGGTTTTGATTTACATTTCCCTAATGACTAGTGATGTTGAATATCTTTTCATGTGTTTCTTTGTATGGCATATTTTGATATCTGGTGGGCAGGTCTGAGGTTGCCTTTCTTACATAGCTTCTGCCTCCACTGATCCTGAGAAAGAGAACCCACATTGGCTGCTCCTGAGGTGAGCCTGATCCTCTGAGCCCTTCTACAAAGAGGCAAGGGTGGGGTCCAAGTACAGTTTGACCTCAGTGGAGCTTTAGAGTGGACTCCACGAGGTTGACTGGGGAAAGGATATGAATTTTCCACCACCCTTTCTTCTGTCCACACTTCCTCCCAGAGGAACTTTTAATAAAATCTACATCTCTCTCCAGTGCCTTTGGAGATGGATTCACATGAGGTTTTCTGAGGAAGTTGAGTCTGGTCTCACAGCTGGAAATGGTAAAATCCGAGCAAAGGGAACCCAAACACAATGGGGCCATGGATATTACCCCCACCTTTCTGGAATGTAGAAAGAAGTGGGGTGGGAGAGCTTAAGATCGCTCAAAAAGCCTGTGGTTCCCATCAACTCTCCTAAGCGCAGGGTCCACCTCCATTAGATGTGCTCCGCCCAGGGCCCCAACTGTGAGGACACCCTTCGGAGGGTGAACAGTGACCGTACCCCCCCACCCCATCCCAGCTTCTCCCTGAGGGTTGACTGTGCACATGAAGGTGCTTGAAACCTCCAAGATCAGGGGCAGGACTAGCGAACCCGGAACCCACGAGGAGCTAGAGAGCATCCTGGAGCAGTGAGCCTTAACTGGGACTGAACAGAAGCAGAAGAATCAATCTCAATCATAGAGTGGGGTATTTTGAGAGAGAGGTCTCAAATTCACCTTCCAATCAGGAATTCAAAAAGTAGGAAGGAGCCTCTTGGCAGACAGAGCGTATCTCAAATGCAGCTCCTTTTTTACATCTTTCAGGAGAGTGACGAAATGGTCCAGAAAGTTCCATTTTTACCCATGAGCAAAGTCCTCTTCATTATAACCTATTAACTGAATGATTAAAGGTTGCTAAAAGAGGGTATTCATGAAATAGAATGAGGGTGTTTCTAGAATTTATTGAAGACTTTCGATGTGACCTCAGGTAACTTAAACTTTTGTCCTTCATTTCCTCATCTATAAAATAGGGATAATAATAGTTCCAACTTCATTGAGACATCAGGAAGGCTAAAGTACTTAAAACACTGCCTGGCACAGAGCAAACGCTGTGGCAAAGTGTCAGCTATTATTATGACTAATGTGTGAGCAACCACAGACGACAGTACTGACCACGTTGCAAACTCCAACTGCGCAGACCCCCTAGAGAGGGGTGGAATTTCTGCAACTGCGGAGTGTTGCATTGTTACCTGTGCTTGGTCAGGGCTGCCTTGAGGTGGTACAGTTTCCCATGGCTATTATTCTTCCTGCTGAACAGCAAATTTCTCCCAGTTCAGCTTCATCGTTATTCACATCATTTGTCGGGAGTTGTCTGGTCAATCCTACAAAATACCATGATGCATATTTCGCAGTCTAATTTTTGACCTGAACTTTTCTAATAACTAGATTTCAAACCATCTGTGTGTGGTTCAAACATAGATCATCTCTACCCCTATAGTTAAAACTGATGTGTATGTATTATCCCCCTCCCCAATATTTTACTTTTGCTCAATGTTTTGTTGTTGCTGTTGAATTCTTTAAGTGGGACTCTCTGGTGAATGTAGGTTACGGGGCCTTCTGCCTCTCCTAAGTGAGATCCAGAATATTGGAGGCTTGTGCATGGAAGGCACTGGTCCAGAGGCCAGAAGGGAGGCCCTGCTCTTAGGGACCAGATACATGGAGAGTGACAGAAGTCCTCCTTCTAGAAGGCACCTCGAGCAGCCTGGTAAGGTGGCAATTATCCTTGGACTCCTCTTGAAGACTCCAGCTTTCCAGTTTATCCTGCAGTCCTCAGCAGCTGGCCTCTTCATGACCTCAGGAAGTTCTGTGAGGCAGAATGCTCTCTCTCTCTCTCTCTCTCTCTCTCTCTCTCACACACACACACACACACACACACACACACACACACAGGGCTTAGGACCTGGCTCTGAACATCTCTTCCAGTAAGCCTTCCCTGATTTACCACACCCACTTCTAACCCATCCTTTCTTCGGCACTTGGGGACTTGGCATATCTCTTTCCATTTATTCCTTACTCTGCTGAGGGAACAGAATCCTGGGTGGGTCAGACTGAGTTCCCCCTGCCCAGGCCATAATGGCAGACCTGACATTTGTATTGAGCCCCATTTACATGCCTATGGAGTCCCTGGGTGGTGCAAATTGTTAATGCACTGGCTGCTAACCAAAAGTTTGGAGGTTCCAGTCTACCCAGAGGCACTGCAGAAGAAAGTCCTGGTGATCTGCTTCTAAAAACTCAGCTATTGAAAACCCTATGGAGCATAGTTCTACTCTGACACACATGGAGGTATCATGACTTGGCATCAACTTGACGTCAACTGGTATTTGGTTCACATACAAATACCCATTAGATACAATATCCTACACTGGGTGGTCGAGGGAGCTGGGCCCAGTGAAGGTGAACAACTTGTCAGAGGCCAGGAAGGCAGGCCCAGGCCTAAGGAGCTCCCTATTAGATCACTCTACCTCTTATTAACACACCTAACTCCTTAGCTAGTGAACTAAACTAGCTCCCTTGGTGGCCCCTGCAGATGCCAAAGGAACCATTCGGGAAATTGTCCTCCCCAAGGGCCTGGACCTGGACCGGCCCAAGCGGACCCGCACATCCTTCACAGCCGAGCAGCTGTACCGCCTGGAGATGGAGTTCCAGCGCTGCCAGTATGTGGTGGGCCGTGAGCGCACTGAGCTGGCCCGCCAGCTGAACCTCTCTGAGACCCAGGTAAGAGGGCTAGACCACCCCACCCCTGCCCCGGCAGCACAGGTACCCTTGGGGTATAAGGCCATGGTTGCTATGGGGGATCCCAACTGTTGGGGGAGTTCCAACATTTGCATGGGGAAAAGACTTAAAGCTACAGACAACCTAGAACAAATACAGTGCCAAAAGGAGAGCGTTGGCAAATGCCAATGGGGGGCGGGGGCTTCCAGATGTGTCAGGTACCCTGGGTAGAAGATGGGAAAAGTCTAGAGAAACAAAGAGGGGTATTCAAGATGGAGGGAGTGCCTGAGAGGGGTCGTTGGCGTGTGGAAGGAGCCTGTAGGAAGGGACGGTGAAAAGTTGGTTTGCTGGGAGCAGAGATTCTGGAAGGAGATCAGACATTACAAAAATGTTTTAGAAACTTCTCGATTTCTCTTTCTGCATCCTTTCCAACCCTCCACCACTCTTCCTTCATCCAAGTGTGCCTCAGTCCCTCTTGTTAGAGAGGAGGGCTCTCAACACCCCCATCACCTAGGAAGGGCTTGGCATTTTAACAATAGTATGCTTAATCCAAAGGAAAAGACTTCTGTAAGCGGAACACCTACTCTCTATAAATAGAGGCATCTCAAGCTGGTAATAGAGTTACATGATGATGATGATGATGATGATAAAATAATACCTCACCACCACCTCAGTGGCTGTCAGGTTGATTCCAACTCATGGTGACGCTGTGTCTGAGTAGAACTGTGCTCCATCGGGTTTTCAATGGCTAAGTTTTTTGGAAGTAGATCGCCAGGTCTTTCTTCTGAGGCACCTCTGGGTGATCTTGAACCACCAAACTTTGGCTTAGCAGCTGAGTGTGTTGACAGTTTTACTGCCCAGTACTTACCTTAGTACTTACAAAGTGCCAGACACTGTTCTAAGTGCTTTGCACATCCCTTCCAACAACTCTGTGATGCAGGGACCAGTATTATCTCTCTATTGTAGATCAGGAAAGGTTAAGTAACTTGTCCGAAGTTATGACTAATAATTCCAGAGCCAGGATTTGGATGAGCAGTCTGACATATTTATAGACGACCTTTCTTGAGTTTGTCAAAAAATAAGCGAGAGATCCTTAGTTCAGCAACAGCTCTCATAATTTCATCTCATATAATGAGGGGGATCAATCAACAGATTTATTTCAAACAGTGACCAAAACAAGATGTATAAAGGGAAGAGGAGAGAAAAGGGGTAAAGAAGCAGACCGGCTGGGACAGGGTGCTTGGTCCTCCCTTCCTAGAGAAGCTTCCGGAGGGTCTATGTAAGACCTCTCAGTGTAACATCTGCTGCTGTCCTTCCGTTCAGTCGGGATTGCACCACTTCCTTCCTTAAAATTCCTCCGGCTCCTCAAATCACACAAACAGAATGCTGGGCATGGATAAATATGCCTGGATGTCCTGATCTCCTTGAGGGGTGAGCAGACTTCTCCTGGGGAAACCAACAACTCTGAGTGGGGCAGAGGAAGAGGCGGAGTGGGGGGGCAAGATGAGGAGGAGGGGGAGGCCAGAGGTGGGAGGGGTGGGCTTGCTGGAGAGTTGCTGTGTCCTGCAGGAGCAGGTCATCTCCATCTGTTTCCTCCAGCTGCGTCTAGTGCCCCAAACAACCCAGCAGATGGCCTGGGACAGCCTGCCCTCCATGCAGGATGGCTGGAAAGCAGGCTTGTGCTTAGAGATGGGGGGGGCTACAGTGGCTGGGGGAAATCAGGGAGACACCCCAAACCTTGAAGTCCAGGCATAGAGGGGAGGAAGCCGGGACTCCTCAGAGTCACCCTGCAATTCTTTGTCCTAATCAGTCTCTGCCTCACCTAATTTTTGTTTTGTTTTTTTATCGTACTTTAGATGAAGGTTTACAGAACACATAGTTTCTCATTAAACAGTTAACACACATATTGTTTTACAACATTGGTTAACAACCCCACAACATGTCAACACTCTCCGTTTTCGACCTTGGGTTCCCTATTACCAGCTTTCCTGTCCCCTCCTGCCTTCTAGTCCTTGTCCCTGGGCTGTTGTGCCCCGTTACTCTCATTTTGTTTTATGGGCCTGTCTAATCTTTGGCTGAAGGGAGAACCTCGGGAATGACTTCATTACTGAGCTAAAAGGATGTCCAGAGTCCATACTCTCAAGATTTCTCTAGTCTCCGTTAGGCCAGTAAGTCTGGTCTTTTTTTGTGAGTTAGAATTTTGTTCTACATTTTTCTCCAGCTCTGTCTGGGATCCTCTGTTGTGATCCCTACACAGCAGTCAGTGGGGGTAGCCAGGCACCATCTAGTTGTACTGGACTCAGTCTGGTGCCTCACCTAGTTTTGGCCCTAAACTGCGCAGAAACTTTGCTCTCCAAGGTCACCTCAGATGTCCCTGCTCCCTTATTCTCCCCCACCCACCCCATGTGCCCTACATTTACCTGCCCTCAGAGGTTAAGCCCAAGCCCCGCCTCTCCCAGGAAGACTTCCCTAAGACTTCTTGACCTCCTCCCGAGAGAGCTTTCCCAATGGCTGCCCTGTGGAGTGTGTGTGTGTGTGTGTGTGTGTGTGTGTGTGCGTGCTCATGTGTGTATGCATGAGACACCAAGCAGTATGCACTTGCCAAAGACAAGAATGTGTGTCAAGGCCACATCTCCTCTTCAGGCCTCCTTGGGTCACCCAGCATGCCACTGGGCACACAGTGAACCCTCAATGAATCCTCAGCTTACCTATTATTGCTTACCACCTTCCTTCTTTGTCCCCAGTCCTGGGGGTTTTCCGAAAATATAACTAACACACAGCTAACATTTATAGAGGGCTCCCTACATACCAGGCCTTGGGGTGTTCTAACTCACTTAACCCTCATCACAACCTTGTGGGATGGGTCTTATCATTCTACTTTAAAGAGAAGGAAACTAAGGCCCAGAGAAATTAAATAACTTGCTCAAGATTTAAAGCGGCTCCATGAAAACCTCCTCTTTTTACTCTTTGGCTGTTTGGCTGAGGAAGGGAGCAGGCTGAATGCCTTTGCCTGCCTCCTCAGCCCTTCCTTTCCAGCAGGTACTATGCGGGTCTGGGGTTTTACAGCCACTCTTTGGGGCATCCCCCTTGACATTTGAATAGTGCATGCTTTTTTTGCCTACACCTGCTCGCCAGAGAATGGCTGAGGATTTATGTTTCTGCCAGTAATAAAATCTCGGGAAGTCTGATATTTCTTAGAGACTCCTGGGTTCCTGTACCCCACCTGGCCCTTCCTTAGGACCCTGGATCCAGTCCCCCGTCCCCCTTGTTTGCTGGCTGACCCTCCCTCATCTTCTGCTCTTTTCTCCTAAACATAGCTCCATGGTTTCAACCTTCTCCTTTCCCACATCTCTACCTCCAGCCAGGATTTTGTCAAGAAACTCAGCTCCACTCAGATGTCCCACAGGCACCTCAAATCCCACAGTGCAAAGCTACCCACACCGACTTCCCTGTCTGCACTTCCTGAGGGTCCAGCTTGGGCCAATGTGGGTGACCAAGACGGAAATTTGGTATTTAATGTCTGTGTCTTACCTCTGCCATCTGACTAGCCATTTCCCAAGGGCAGAAACTGTATCTATTTTTCAATTTATATGTGAAGTCCAATCCTGGGCCCATAACAACAACAATAATCATAGCTACGGTTTACTCAGCACCTACTATGTTCCACGTGCCAGCCACATTCATTAATTCATTTAATCTTTATAAAAAGATGGCTTTGTGGGTACTATTATCCCTAAGCCTCAGAGAGGTTAATTAACTTTCCCAAGGTTATCTAGCTAGAACTCTGGAATTCTCAGTATATTCCTGCATACTTTTGTTCAAAAATATTATTGAGTGCCTACTATTTACCAGGTACTGTTACAGGCACTGGGGATACGCAGAGAACAAAATAGACCGGGTACTTGCCCTCATGCAGCTTACATTCTGTGGAGAGACAGGCAAATAACAGCATTTCAGACAGTGTTAAGTGCTATGAAGGAGATAAAACAGGGAATCTTAGTTACCTAGTGCTGCCGTAACAGAGACTTTAAAGAACAGGAATTCATTTTTTCATAGTTCAAAAGACTGGAAGTTCAAATTCAGGGTGCAGTTCTAAGGGGAGGTCTTTCTTTGTCTATTTCAGCTTCTGTTGCTGTGTGCCCTTGAGTTGATTCCTGCTCATAGCGACCTTACAGGACAGAGTACAACTGCCCTGTAGGGTTTCCAAGGTTGTAATCATTACGGAAGCAGATCGCCACGTCTTTCTCCTGCACAGTGGCTGGTGGGTTCGAACCATCAACCAAAAAGCAGCCGAGCGCTTAACCACTGTGCTACCAGGGCTCCTTTACAGCTTCTAGTAGCCGGCCATTCTTGCCATTCCTGGGCTTGGAGATACATATGTCTCCATCATCTGTTTTCCTCTTCCTCTTGTGTGTGCCTGTGTCTTTTCTGGTCTTTTTATAGCTCAGAAGTCTGATCAGGTTTACGATCTACCTTACACTGGTATGACCTCATTAACATAACAAAAGAAAACCCCTGTTTCCAAACAGGATCACATCCACAGGTATAAGAGCCAGGAATTCAACACATATTTTAGGGGGACACAATTTAACCCACCACACAGGGTGATATGATCTAGATTAGAAGGAGGTAAACTTTTATTGGGTTGCTCAGGAAAGGCTTCTTTAAGGAGATGACATGGAATGGAGGCCTCAATGATGAGAAAGACACAGCCAGATGATGAACCAGAAGAAGGGAGGTCAAGGCAGAGGGTAACTGTGAAGATCCCGGGGAAGGGAACTGACACAGAATGTTCTAGAAGGATCAAGGGGCCTGCATGGCTGGAGCTTCGAGGGTGGAGGGGAGGTAGATAGGGGCAGATCATGTAGTGCTCAGAGGCCATAGTAAGGCATTGAAGAGAGAGTGACATGAGACGATAGACATTTTACAGAAGCCACTTGGGCTGCCTTCTGGAGAATGGACTGTGGAGGGCAAGAGTAGATCAGTTAGGTGCTACTGACACAGAGGAGGGTAGAGGTGGACTGATCTGAGATGTGCTCTATTTTGGAGATAGAACTTCCGTGGGTTGCTCATGGGTTACATGCCCAGGGTGAGGGAAAGGGAAGTGATTTGGGTTGGGACAAATGGGTGAGTGGTGATACCATTTACTGAGTTAAGAAGGCTGGGGAGGAGCAGAATTGTGGGAGAGTAATCACGAGGGTGATTCCTGAGACGGACCTGAAGCTTCCCTGGAGGAGGAAGGACAAGATCAGCGGGCGTCAAGCCTATCTCTCACTTAGTTTGTCCCGTGTTTTCCTGAGCCATAGGAATAAATCCCTTAGGGACTCTCGGATCCATGGGGCGAGGGGAATGCTGGCAGGCAGCTCTTCTCACTCCCACCTTTTCAGCTCCAGCACCTGCCTCCAGAGTTTGCAAGGCCAGTAGCACATTAAAATCACCTGCAGAGCTTTAAAAACAAAAACCCAACATATATATGCATATAGGCAGGCAGGCAGGCGGGCAGGCGGGTGCAAGCCTAGGCCCCACCCTCTAGAAATTCTGATGTAATGAGTGTGGGATGGGGACTGGGCATTGGGATTTAGAAAAAAGTCCCCAAGTAATTCCAGTGTGCAGCCAGGGTGGAGAATCCCCGACCCGGCCCAAAAGTGCCCCCAAAATGGGCATGCCAGGGCCCAGGCCCTGCTCCACCTGTATCCGTTTTCTCTCTCCCCTTCCAGGCCCACCCTCACAGGAGACTCCCAAGCCCAGAGCCAGCCCACGCCACTATCCCTGAGCTCCACCCAGAGCTGAACAAAGGACAGGATGTGTGGAAGACCAACTTGTAAAAGTCCCTCTTTCCCCATCGCATCACACCCCCTGCTGCTGCCACCCCCTTGTACCCAGCTGCCCTCTGTTTGCTTGGGGTGTGCTAGTGCCGCCTCCCCACTAGGCCATCAGGTTCCTGACGGCAGGAACCACGACTTCTGTGTCTGCCCTGTCTCCCTAGTTCTGAGCTAAGAGCCGAGAAAGAAAGCAATAAATAATCATAACTCACATTTAGCACAGGTTAGACATGACGCCGAGCCCTTTACATGGACTTTTTAAATTAATCCCCACAATGGCTTAAATATTCTCTTCCCCATTTTAGAGATGAGGAGACTGAGGCTCAGGGGTTCCTGGGAGGTGGTGCCTGGCCTGAGGTCCTAAGAGGGGCAAGTGCTAGTCAAGTAAAGAGGTCAGGAGGCGTTCTTGCAAGGGAAAAGGATGCCACCGCCTGCAGATCCAGGGTTCCCGAGGATTTGGTGAGATGGTATCTCTGAGTGATTGAATTCCAAGGGTGACAAACATAGAAGTGTTTTTCTTCTTTCCAAAAAAAAAAATGTTCTTGAGTCTTCCTTTCCCACCCCTTACCAATGTCACCCCTTCGAGTGTCACTGTGACTAAATTGTCACCGCCTCCTGCTGCTCCCCCTTACCCTGCCACATTTCTCCAAAGCGGTGCCCTCAGAGCGCATTCCTTGGACCAATGCCAGCCCACAAACTCTTACACATTAATGAAAAATTAGGGACAAAAATGGAGAGGATTTCAAAATGTATAAAGCAATTTTTCTAATAATGCATTTTAATTGTACTTTACAACAGATTGGAAACTTTAAAAAGTGGTCCCTCACCACAAATACATTGAGAAACACTGCTGAAAGCACTTACCGCCACCTGACGGTATACGCGTTTGCTTTTATTTGTTGTTTATTGTCTGTCTCCCCCACTACACTCTCTGTCCTCTCCATACTCATAGGACTTGCTCTGTTTTGCTAACTGCTGATCCCTGAAGGCTAGAATGGTGCCTGGCACATAGTAAGCACTCAATACACATTTGTTGAATGAATGAGTGAATCAATCAATCAATCTCAAGTAGATCCCAGAAATTGCTGGACACTGTTGGTTATTGAAACTCAATTTAATCCCGTCTAAAACACCAAACTCACGTGCGTTTTCAATCTTATCTTCTCTTTTCCCCTTTCCTGCTCAGAACAGGCCTGACCCCCGGCTAGACGGTGGGGGGTTTGCAAGGGCAAGGACCATGTGCACTCTCTAACACCTTCCATTGCAGCCTCCAGAGGGCGGTGTGATCTCCCTGAGCCACCTGCTCACCACCACCATCAACTACCTTCTCCAGGGTAGGGGGCAGGGTGGTGGCGTTAGGGAGGCAGAGATCTTTTTAAATAACCGGGCCCCTTCTGGGGAGAGGCTAGGGGGGGGCCAGGCTTGGCTCTTCTGGAGACCTTTGCTGGAGGAGTGGTTGCTCGCATAGGTGGCCACGGTTTCCATTGGCGCTGTTCAGCATTGCCCCAGGCAGCGTACCTCTGCTGATGATCCTCACCCAGGCAACCCTCCAGCTCCTGCCTCCTCCTCACACCTCTGCATGTGAAGGAGCCACAGACCTTGTGGACTCTTACGTCCTCCGAAAGCTAGAGGGAAGCAAGGAGGCCTGCACAGCCTTTCTTTCAGGCCCTCCATTCCATGTTCCTGCTGGCACAGTTGGCTCGGCCAGCAGCCAGCCCCCTGCGATCTCCAGGCGAGAGGCAGAGCCAGCGTCTGTGCCCCTGGGGACGCAGGTCTGCGTGTTCCAATGGTGGCACCAGTGACATGGACCTGTAGATGTATGGCTTGACATGTGTTCTAGCTGGAGAGTGAATAGTGGTCTCTCCTTGCAGGCACGTCCAGTCCCTACAATGGTTCTTTCAGCACCCCACACTTGCCTTCTGTGGGGGAAGCACCCCCATCAGAGAGGGGAGGAACCCCTGTCACCGTCAACACCGCACTGGGGGCTGACCAGCAAGCTCCCCTCCCAGCCTCCCTTTTCTCATGGGAACCGGGAAAGGGGTTGGAGTTCTAGGTGGTGGATGGTGCTAGCAGGGCTAGTGTGGCCTCAGGCCCTGAGGAAGGTCTCTGCTTTGTTCTTGGTGGCCCTCTTTAGGAGGTACTTGGGTCCTCTTTGTCCCTAGCTTTGAGTGTGTGGCCATTGGAAGTCCCCTCAATGTCCTGCTACATCCTGTTACACTTGGTATCACGTTAAGAAACTTGAGCTTTAAAGGTGATGGGGCAGGAGGGGGTTGCTAAAGTTCGAACAGAGGGGTGGCAAGATCCCACTGGGTTAGAGAGAGCTCACTCCGCAGGTGGGGTTGAGGGAATGGGGAAGAGAGGCCATGATTGGAGGTAGAGATGTTCCTGTCCTCAGACTGGCAACTGGTTTCCCATGGAGGGAAGACTGCAGCACCAAGGGGCCACGCCCACCAGGAGCCTGTGCCCCACCTCCTGGACAATGCCCCAGGTACCCAGGTTCCAGAATTCCCTGCCAAGTGCCCCAGAGTCCACTTCAAGCACCTGTCCAGGTTAGTCCTCCCAAGGGCAAACCATACAGCCATTATTCAGATCCCGAGGCCCAAGAAAGGCGGGTGAGACGGTTTGCAGAGTGTGAACAGAGCCTGGACATGCAGGGTAAGGTGCCCATCAGTGTAAGCAAGGTCCTCACAGTGTGGCCAGAACCAGGGCGTGCCAGGAACCAGAAGTGCCCATGTTTCCTCTTGCCCTCAGCCCTGTGGATGTTAGGGTTGGACCTGCAGCAGAGAGACCTTTTGAGTAGTGAGCTTTTAAAACCACTAGTGTCTGAGTCCACTCATCCCCATTCTGAGCTGACCGGTTGAGGATTAGGAGTGAGTTAGCAGTTAAGCTCCCCCGGTGGTTCTCATGGGTGGATGGCCAGGGTTGGGAGCCACTGCTCAAGAGCTGACCAGGTGGGAGACGTCACAGGAGAAGAGCAGGGTCTGCACTGGGAAGTGGGAGTGTGCAGGAGGCCCAAAGGGGAGGGAGGTTCTGGTAGTCCCCCAGGTTTCTGCTTGGGTGGATGGAGGTGCCCGTGATGAAAGGGGCATCCAGGAGAGGCCCCTGGCCAGAGGAGGAGATCTGAGCTGGGTTTGTGCCTGTGGAGTTTCAGGTGTCTTTGAGACATCTATGGGGAGATGTCCAACAGGTAGATACATGGCCTGGAACTCAGTTCAGAGGCTTGGGCCTGAGGTAGAGCTGGGAATTGCACCACATAATGGTGGCTGAAGCCGTGAACTTGGCTAAGAGCAGAGAGTGTGTGGCGTAGGGTGTGTGGGCCAAGGTGGAACTGGCATCAGCCACCTGCCAATCCATTCCTACATCCATCCTAGGCCAGAGCCAGCTTAGCAGAGGAGGGGGGATTCACAATTAGGGGGCCCAGGGTCCCTAATCAGTTCACCCAGAGCAGGCTGGTTGTGGGAGGACCTTAATGACAATCTATTGCTCTTCCTCCCCTCTCCCTCCACCCTTGCTCCATCATTCCCCACTCCCCTGTCCTCCACCTCCTCCCTTGCCCCATGCTCTTCCTCTCCTGTCTCCTCCACCTGCCCCTACTTTCCTTCACCCACTCCTTCCCTCTGCTCTGGCCTCCACCCCTTTTCTTCCTTGCTTTCTCCCCTGCCTGGCCCCTCTCCCCTTCCTCCTGACCACCCCTTGCCCACCCTCTGCCCCAAGGTAAAGGTCTGGTTCCAGAACCGCCGCACCAAGCAGAAGAAAGACCAGAGCAGAGACTTGGAGAAGCGGGCGTCCTCCTCAGCCTCTGAGGCCTTCGCCACCTCCAACATCCTGCACCTGCTGGAGCAGGGCCGCCTGCTCTCCGTGCCCAGGGCCCCAGGCCTCCTGGCGCTGACCCCCAGCCTGCCAGGCCTGCCTCCTGGCCACCGGGGCACCTCCTTGGGTGACCCCAGGAACTCCTCCCCGTGCCTCAATCAGCTGACCATGGCCTCGAAGTCCCCCCCACTGCTGCCCCCTCCGCCGCCCCTCTGCTTTTCTGCGGCCCCCACTCCTGGACCTGCCAGCTGGGTACGAACTGGGCTTCTCAGCCTTAGAGCCCTACAGCCAGCTAGAACGGAAAGTAGGCAGCCCCAGCAGCAAGAAAGCTAACACTTAAGCCTACCACCCTATGTGACACTGAGTCCCCGCACACAGCACCACCCTGGCCTCCCCTCCCGTGCCCCAGCAGTTGCTCCCTCCAGCTCAGAGACTCTGGACCAAATGGCCTTGGTCCTGCAGCTTGTGTGTGTGAATGCAGTGTATGTGTGTGTGTCTCTCACTGAAATAAAAGGAAAAATGGTGACAAGAAGGGAAACAGAGCCCCCACCGCATCACCACTCACCGTCAGCCCCCTCTGTCCCTCTCTCAGTGGTGAGAAAAATGGGCTGAGTCAGTGGAGCTTGACTGAGAGAGAGCAGAAACTGAGCACCATGCTCACAGTTGGAGGGGAACTGGGGTGCCCACGTGTGTGGGTGGACAGGCACCTGACCACCCCTCCTCCAAATTGTAGCCCACCCAAGCATCCCAAGGCCACCATACCAAAATCGGTGCTTTCTTTGGTTAAGCACTGCCCTTTGCAAGCTCCTCTTTCAAACATAAAAATCCTTGGGAGGGGGAAATGGTAAGTCCTTCAAAGGAGTGACAATGAAAGGTAAGACCAGAATCCAGAGAGGGAGAGAGGATGTCAAAGGTGAACCCAGGCAAGACCCCACGTGCTTTCAAGGATCTGCCCATCACAAACACCACAGGTGGAACACTTCTTTTTTCCTTTTTAATTATTTTGCTCAAGTAAGACAGTTTCATTTAACTTTTTTATTTTTAAAATAGTTACAGAATCATGAGAAGCCTCCAAATATGGTACAGAGAGGTTCTGTGTGACCCTCACCCAGTTTCCTTCAATGGTTACATCTACTATAGTACAATACCCAAACCAGCAAACCAACATTGGTACTGTGTGTGTATGGGTGTGTGTGTGTGTGCGTGTGTGTGTGTGTGTGTGTGTGTGTGTGTGTGTTCCACGTCATTTTATCACATGAGTAGACTCTGGTAGCCATCCCAGCAGTCAGGATATGGAACTGTTCGGTTACCGCAAAGATCTCCTCGAGCTACCCTTTGTAGTCACACTGTCCTTCCTGCCCCCACAAGACAGTTCTCTGGAAGAATGAGAGTTTGAGAGGGGCTGGAGGCTGCAATGGGCTCCTCAGGACAGAGGGCGTGTGTGGGATTTCCACTGTGTGGGGACAAAGATAAGCAGTCTGCTGTGGGAAACAAAGTCGCTGCTACCCTGAGCTACCCCAAATGGGGTGCTGGGAGGCAGGGATCCTCAGAAAACTGCATGTCTACGCTTCCCTCTGTTCAGTGGTATAGTTTTGGGAGGTGCTTAGAAGTACCAGGAAATCCTGGATGTGAAATGAGGTGTGGGATTGCCCAGGGCAGACCTGGTGGGCCGGTCCGGGCACCCAGCTTCACCCTACCTTGCCCCCAACAGATCCATGCCACATCCGTGGGCCCAGGGGAGAGAACAGTTCCTTCAGCCAGCCAGAAATAAGGAGGGTTCCTGAGAAGCAGTGGCCCAAGTATGGACATAGCCAGATTGTGCGCGCGCGCGCGTGTGTGTGTGTGTGTGTGTGTGTGTGTGTGTGTGTATGGTGAAAATATACACAACAAAATATTGGCCAAGTCAATGATTTCTACACATATAATTCAGTGACATTGATGATTACCTTCTGATAGCTCAATTTTTAACTCTAAATATTTAGACATACATGGACCTCCATTTGTACTCTCAGCCCTGGGCCTGCTGATGTCAGCGGCAGGCCTACTGGAGGTGAAATGTAAGATGAGACAGGGTCCTAAGATCAGATGGAGGGAGACCAGCCCTGGCTCTCAGGGGGCTCTCAACATTATGAGATAGAAAGGCTTAAGGAGAACCAAATCGGCTGGGGCTGGGGAAGACCGAGGGCACCAGCATTCCAGAGCTGAGCTTGTAGGGAAGAGCCCAGCACTAGAGCACCAGCTTTCCTGTTTACAGTAAACACAGGGAAGGGGAGGAGTGGCCTGGGGCAGGCTAGGCGGCTCTCTCCAGCTCCAGCTGGGCCTGGACTTTTAGAGCAGCGGCCAGGCGGTAAGCTCAAGCACTCGGCTCCCAGCCTGCCCACTGTGCCATGGCCACGAAGGTAGACAGCAGGCCCGGGGCCCTCCCTGGCAGTGGCTGTGACCTGGGCACCACCCGAGAGCACATGCAGGCGGTCACCCGCAACTACATCACCCACCCCCGTGTCAGTGAGTACCACCTCCCAGCTGGAGGGAGGTTGAGGTGGAAAGCTGGGGTGGGCTGCCAGGCCCCAGGCAATGTTTCTTGGCTTCAGGAAAGGAGAACCCAAGGCTTGAGACCCAGGGGCTCTAAGTCTCCCAGTGCAGTGGGAAGGATTTGGTGGGCCACCTGTGCAGGTGGAGGAATGGAGGTCTGGGGACTTTCCCCAGCCCAGGCTACCCTGGAGGGGAGGCACATCTCTGAACTTACCCTGCTCCTGCACTAAGACCACAAGTCCAGCCCTGCTTTCTTCCAAAGCTAGGGAGGGATCTCCTAACTGCCCCTGAGTGTATGTGTGTGTGTGCATCAGGAACACTGAGCATGAGGAAATGCGTGATGATACACACTTGGGGCTCTGTGTGTACAACCTAGAGTATGTGTGTGTTCTCCAGATGAGGAAATAGGTGACACTGTGTCATATCGATGGGCATGTGTTGGGTGTGCGTTCTGGGGGAAGGTGTATAAGTGGGTGAAGGCATGTGTCTGGGGGAGTGTGTGCTCTCACTGGCACTTCGGTGAAGGTATGTGGGAATGTGTGTGTGATCAGCGAGAGGAAATGTGTGATCGTGCGTGCATGATTGCACACCCAGGGTGAGGGTGAGTGTGTGCTTCACTTGGGGCCATGAACCTGATGTAAGTCACATGCTCGCGAGAGTACACGTGATGTGTGGTCAGGTGATGTCACACAGCTGTGTGTGGGAATATGTGTGTACAGCTAGCTGAGTGAGGGCGAGTGCCTGGTGTCCATGTGTAAGTGTGTGTGTGCCCACGGATGCTGGAGGGGATCTTTGTGGGTTTCAGAGGGGCAGCCCTGTTGTGACTAGTGTGCCTGCAGGCTCTCAGTACACCAAAGACAGGACTCCTATTGGGAGTCCATCTCTGCCCTCCTCCCTCAGTCTAGCTTTCTACTCTAGGACTGTAAGTACTTCTGGACAGGAGAACTTTGTGTAGGGACAAAAAGAGCCTGGGAGGAGAGCTGAGGGACTGGAGGGCCGGGGACAAGGGCAGCTGGGCAGAGAACTGGGCAAGGTCCACAAGACCAAAGGGCATCCTTCCCCGGCCCCATCTCTCCTTGTCAAGGTCACTCTCCCAGACCTGGTGCATTCTCAGATTCTCAACAGCCCAGCTCGCTGGGTAAACCGGTCTGGCCAGCCCCAGCTAAGCAGAGCCAGAAGCTGCTAACAGGGTGTGTGGTGGGGGAAGTGGGCCTAGCACAGGCCACCCGTCCCTCCTTCCCTCCCTCCCTGTTTAGCTACCTGGTCCAATAGGGAAGGTGGAGTGAACTGAGTGGCAGCTGGGAGCTAGGTCTGCAATGGGGGGCCAATACCCACAGAGAACAGAGCAAGAGAAGAGTGGGCCAGCCCCATGGAAGTAGAGCTGGGTGGGGGTGGGGGGCACTCCCTAGGCCCAAGGCAGGTGCTGAGGGTGGAGCTATATTCCAGCTAAGAACTGTGAGTGGGGTGGAGCCATGTTTATCAAGGAAGCCCTCCCCACAGGGATGGGAGAGTGGGAGGTACAGGCTTTCCCCCAGGCCAAAGCTGAGGTCACCATGGCCCAGACATGCAGTGACTGGGCCTCCTTTGGAGGCCCTGGGAGGTGCAAATGATTAACTTGCTCAGCTGCTAACTGATAGTTTGGAAGTTGGCGTCCACCCAGAGGCACCTCAGAAGAAAGGCCTGGCAATATACTTCCAAAAAATCAGCCATTGAAAACCCTATGGAGTACAGTTCTACTCTGACATACATGGGGTCTCCATGTGTTGGAATTAACTCAACAGCTTTTTTGGTTTGGGACTCCCTTTGGGTCCACAGAAGGATCCCTGGTGGCACAATGCTTGAGAGCTTGGCTGCTAACCAAAAGGTCAGCAATCTGCTTCCATAAAGATTACAACCTTGGAAATCCTATGGGGCAGTTCTACTCTGTCCTATAGGGTCTCTAGGAGTTGGAATCGACTTGATGGCAATGGGTTTGATTTTTGGGTCCGCAGCCAAGTCCTGGAGTCCTGAGCTGAGTGTCTGTGTGCTGGCCCACCCCTCCAGACTCCTCCCCCATCACCTGTCCCTGGGGGACAGGAATTGGGAGCAAGATGTGGAATCTGGACCTATATGCTCTGCTTTCCTTCTTCCTGGAATGGGCACTCCCAGGGATCCTGTAGAGCACAAACTTACCCTACAGCCCTCTCTCCCCGACAGGCCTCCTCCTCCAGTCAGGAACTCCCAGGCCTAGAGCAGCCTCCAGCCAGTTCTCTCCCAGCCAGCCCTGTTTATAGTCAACAAGCCGGGAAAACACTTTGAAAGTTTTGACCAAGCTAGAACCGGTGCCCTTGTGTTTGCATCTCTCCTGCAATGGAGGCTTCATGTGGCCCCTCCCTAGGTGAATGTGTCCAAACCCAACAACTGACAAAGGTTGGTGCAGAGAGCTTTGCTCCCTGACTGTGTTAAAGATGGTACTGCAATGACCAAGGCCACCACCTTTGCTTTGGCTGCACCCTGTGGGTCCTTACAAGGTATATGCAGAGGCCCAGCCCCAGCCCAGCCCTGACACCCTCCCACTCCCAGGGGCAGGCTCCAGATTCCTCGGTGTGCTTCTGCACCTGCAGCTTTCTACCTTTCCCCTCCAGCCCCCCTCCCCCAGGTGACTGAGGAGTTTTCTCCTTGGGAGGCAGAGAGGGCGCAGGACCAGGGAGGGTTTGAGGACTCCCAGGAGCTGGAGGCAGGACTCTTACTGGGAGTCCATCTCTGCCCTCCTCCTTTAGTCTGGCCTTCTACTGTAGGACTCTAAGCACTTCTAGGCAGGAGAACTT